GCAGGAGGGTTGGACTGGGTGACCCACAGAGGTCCCTTCCAACCCCTACCATTCTGTGATTCTGTAGAGCATGGACACGAAGAAAACAACTTTGGTAGAACTAGAGCCATCGTTCTTTCAGAGCAGAACTAACTCACAGCAGAGACAGAAAGCCTCAGCTTGCACATGTGAAAAGCCAAAAGCTTGTCTTTTAACGCATTTTAAGAAGCAAACTAAGTGTGGCTTTCTACCAGGTTATGGATTTTCCATTACTGTTGAAAACTGCCAGATGTCCCACATCAGGAAGCATATCGTGTGCTACAGCAAAGCTCTGGGCTTGATGGGTGAAGCGGGGTTTGTAGAGTTGAGCAGAGATAACCTGCTGACCTCGCTGCGATGGCAAGAACTTTATGCAAAACACGTTAGAAGAGCGCAAGTCTTAGATGTGGATTACAGTGCTTCCAAAGCTAGCAGTGCTTTGAGAAACAGCAGATCAGAAGAAGAAGCTCAAGCCAAGAAACCTATGAAATAATAAAATTATAAAATGCAGATTGTAAAAGTTAATCTCTAACTCATCGTTTTTATCGTTTACACTGCTTCCCCAAGGCTGCGAATTAGAATGAGTTGTAACTGGAGATAGGAGGAAGATTGCACTGGTAAATGTGTGACTTGGCCACCGATCCAGGCAGTGTTGTCAACCCCGCGCACACTGCTGGGTGCCGTGGGACTGTGTCAGGCCAGTTCTGGGCAGCAACGGAGCATCTCAAAGGCTGTGTGTGCTCTAATAAAAAAATTACTATTTCTTATTTTGTGTGATGGGTGTTGATGAGAAGAGAAAAAGAAGAGGAGAAGAAGAGAAGAGGAGGAGAAGAAGAGGAGAAGAAGAGGAAAAGAGGAGGAGAAGAAGAGGAGGAGAAGAAGAGGAGGAGAAGAAGAGGAGAAGAAGAAGAGGAAAAGAGGAGGAGAAGAAGAGGAGGAGAAGAAGAGGAGGAGAAGAAGAGGAGAAGAAGAAGAGAAGAAGAGGAGAAGGAGAAGAGGAGAAGGAGAAGAGGAGAAGAGAAGAAGAAGAGAAAGGAAGGAGGCGTGGGTGGGAGGAGGGGGTGTGCGGCTGCACGAGGCCCTGGGCAGGAAGCGCAGCCTTCCTGTCGCGCTGCGGCGAGAATCACCGCGGCCCCGGGACGCAGCTGGCGGGGTAAACATCTCCCTCCGCCGCCAGCTGAAGGGCAGGGCACGAGCAAGTCTGATCAAGTTATTCACTCAGTCTATCAAAGCTTTCGCCATTTGCAGCGTTGGCCAAGTCTTTCCAAAACAGCATCGCAGAGCGGCTTTGGGCCTTTCTGTAGTGAGTTAGGAACCCAAAAATACGATTATAATCAAGGGGAGAAAAAGTGTTGTGCAAGAAGCTTGCCAGTGAGTAGGGAGGATGTAAAATGTGTAGATCAATGCATAGGTCTTCGCTCGAGATGCTGAAATTTCAATCCAACAGGTCAAAACTTCCTGGCTTAATTAGACTAAAGCAGGATCTAGCTCCACGGAACTGGAGGCCTTGCTCTGTTGGTGTTCCTTGATAACGTTTACCAGAAGACCCAACAAATTTCCACACCGAAAGGAACAGTTTGCACTGCTGTAATTTATGCTGTTGTTAATTTCTATGGAGGTCATTCCCCAAGTGCTCTAGGGCTAATGCATGGACAAAAGACTTCCAGCAGCGATGGGGTTGCCAACAACCGATGGGTAAAGACAGGTTTGTTTCAAAGAGCTGGAAATGCTCTTCTTTAGGATGTTCAATATCTGCGTGACTGACAGGCTGCGATTTGACACTTCAAATGCTCTGACAAGAATGAGGAGAAGCAAACTTAGCAGAACTGTGTGAAGTTTGTGCTGCTCCTTGGGACGCAGCCATTCAGTTTCCCGTGGGCTTACCTGGCCCATGGCCTGAGTTGAACCTGAGATCTCGCTTTTTGCCTGCAGAACTTGGTCGTATTTTGTGATCTTGGATTGGTTAGACACTCTACCCTCGGAAAAATCACTCGCCAAACGAAGCACATGTCCCAGGAAGCACTGTAATTAAAGGTTTAACTTATACCTCTTCTGTGGTTCCACGGACAGGACAAGAGACTAAACACTTAAAACTCCACAAGCATACACGATATTAAAAAACATCATGTACATTTATTTATTGCTAATTGCTTTTGGCATAGTAAAGGGGGGGTCAAACACAAAAAGCTTCCGTTAACAGAGCACGCATAAAATTCACTGAGGGTGAAAAGGATTCCTGAGCTTACGCTATAGATTTATTCAAGTTGATGGGCTCATAACGAAAAGCATGACAGAATTACATGTCCATAACATCAATCTGAACTCCTCATGCTTGTGCTAACAGCCAAAACTTTAAAATCTGCTTAGAAGATCATTCTTACATCACGTTGAAACTCCGCCGCGCTGCTTCTAAAGATTTCTGGTGAGTGTACTCTAAGGAGAGCAAGCTGTCTGGCAAGGAAGAATCTATTTAATTAGACCAGACGGTTTGATCAGAAGCAGACAAGCTTTCAAATGTCCTATTCCTTTTTGTACATCGATTAAACTTCGTGGCACTGGCTGAAGTGAAGGAAACCCAAGAATTTTTTCACCTGCGGTGTTTATGGAACACAGAAGTGATAACAAAAATTAATGGGAACCTAACACAGTTCCTTTCCAAGATCTTTGGGAAGGTTTGGTAAGCAGCACGTGATTTTAAATGCACTTTTTCTAACGGAGTTGCCATAAGCTCCTCAAAAGACAGTAGGTGCAAGAACACGCTGTCATGCAGTGTGCTTCCAGGGCACTAATTAATACTGCTTTGGAGACACTCACTCCTTAGCACTGTGACACTACTTTACTCGTGAATTACGGGGGTTTTGGGGGAACAAAAAAGCAACTTTCATAAACTAGAAATAATTCGCAGCTGACTTTTAAAAAAAGCCATTTTCTTTCCAAGCTTGTTCTTACCTAGAGCATTAATCTCAACCCTGTGGTAAAACAAGGCTGGAGACCGTGTTCGGGCCAGCCACTATGATTTTAAACTGCTCCGGGACTGTTTCATGTACACT